TTCAGAACGAATGGAAAAAATTTTCTGATATTGAAACAAGTATCATCGAAGATGCTTATCAAAAAAACCGAGATCACATTGAATTGGATAATGATATAATTTATTTTAAACATTTTTTACAAATCAATAAATCAGATTCATCTAAACAGAAATCTATCAAACGGATAGTTTGTGAAAATCTATCAAGAGAAGAACAATTCTCTTTATCAAGGCAATATGTTCAGCGAAAACGAAGAAATTCTTTTCATGATGAAGGTAGATGTGAATGATGAAAATTATGATATATCTATACTAATAGCTCAAAACAAATTAATTAAAACTTTATTATGAATAAAAAAAAAACTGTTAGCGAAATCTCTACGACATTAAAATGTAAAACACAATGTAGCTATTGTTTTATTTAATCTACGTTGGGATCCATTTGTTCATCATCTTTTTTACTTAATCCTATAGAACTGCAAAAAAGGAATTTGTTCTTATATTCTCATGAGATCTTAATGATATATGCTCGCTAATCGTGTATCAAAAACGGCTGTCACAGTCTGTGATCGTCTCGGGAGTAGTGCCCGGCTTGACTGTCGTGGCTATCAGTGAGTCACCGTCACGGTCGTGACTGTGCGTGACTTTTTTCAAAGATCGTGACCGTGGCTGCAGCTTGGTCACGATCAGTCACGGGAATTTTTTCGAAATTTTGCAAAGTCCTGAGGGGTAGTAGGAGGACTTATTAGCACTGGCTATACAGTTTATTAAGAAGAAACAAAAAAAGATGTATAGGTTCAACAATAGCAACGATAAAAAAAAGAAGCTTCTATATATATATATGTTAGTAGAATCACGCCATATGTAGAATAAAAGATTATTAAAAGATGATCACACCATATAAAAAGACAGATCATAATGTGATTAAGACGATGAGGTGATAACAGTGTCGCCGAGAGCTACCTCGATAACAGGACCTTCGCGAAGCTACCCCTTCCCCGGTCATAGTTTTTTATGAAAAATTGGGAAGTTTCTAGTATTAGTGATTCTGAAAACCTCTGAGGGGAAGTACGGGCACCCCCATCGAGCTATCCTATTCCTCCCTCGACCATCAGTTATAATAGTAAACAGAAACTTTGCAATAGTTCTTTCTGGAAAGTTTTTTTTTATGTTGAAGAACCAGAAAGAAGGGCCGTGACTCACGGTTACGGCCACAGGCTGGGCTCACCGTGACCGTCACGTGACTGTGACCAAAAAAGTTGGTCACGCCGGGCACTACTCGGGAGTATGTATACGAAAGATGCACGAGTAACATACGCACGGCTCATTTCCACACAAGATGACGGTAGGAATGTTGGTCTGAGTGAGCACAAGATCCATATTCATACCTATGCCTAAATTCACACTCTTTTTAATCGATTTTTTTCTTTATTTCTAGCTCAACAACAAGAGAGGCAGATTAAAAAAGCATATAAAGAATCAATTAGCAAAAATTCAAGCGATATTATTGATATATCAATACAACAGACAACTGTTTCTACAAAACAAAAAGTCAAGAAAAACTTAAGAAGTCTTTCTGAAAGCAATCTAGTACAACAAAAATATGAATCTCATTTCAAATCATGTCCATCATTGTCATTTGAATGGTTAATAAATATGAAAAAAGATGATGAAAATATTTCAAATCCATTTTGTTCAAATCTATTAACAATACTTTCTGGTTCAGCATCAGGATTAGCATCGATTGGTCTTCAAAATCTTGTTAAACGATATACAAATATTTCTCTTCCTGATGATGATAAATTAGCATGGCAAATTATCGAACCACATTTTTCTCAAGGGCCACCTCGTATTCGACTTGAAACAGTTTTTGATATAATTCAACAATATATCGATCCGAATTTATCTTTATTAGACGTACTTATGACGGATACACCAACAATTGATCGATCTCATTATATACTTGCTATGTTAGCGATTAAATGTACAGTAATAACAACAAATTATGATCATTTAATTGAAGATGCTGGACGTTTTCATTTAGGAAATGATTCAAATATAATACCATTTAATGTATTTTGTACAGAAGAACATTTTAAAAAAGGTTATGATCTAATTAATACTAGTATATCACCAAATTTAATAGGTTTATGGAAAATTCATGGAACTGTTGCAATATGGAAAAATCAACAACGAGTACTTGTACGTGCAGATGAAGATGGTGGTCCTATAGCAACTCTTAAAAGACTTTCATTAACACGAGAATCTATTGAACGTCGTCGATTTTTACATTATCTATTAGAAACACGACCATTTATAATTATTAATTATTCAGCTACTGATGATTTTGATGTTACACGTTGGTTAAAAACTGTAAAAGTACCATTAAATGTTCTTTGGATTCAACATATTGATAATTTATTAGAACCTATTATTTGGAATGGAATAGATATAGCAAATGGTATACCAAACAATATCACTTCATTTGATCGTGGTCTAATTGCAATGGCTTGTACTTGGCATGAACGTGGTATTGCTGATCGTTTAATAGTTGTAACAACATCTGATTCAATTGGTTTTCTAATCGAAATTACACATTTAAATACTTATACTGAAAAATATCATATGGATAAAACTGATTCAAATGAAGAATATCCATTATCATTACCAACTAGATGGCAATGTTATATAGTTAGTGGTGCAATGCTTTCTCATTTATCCTATTTTTCTGAAGCTAAACGTTATTTTGATTATGCAACTCATATATCTATTGAAGGTACACGTGAATATTGTATAGCTAGATTAGCAGCTGCTGAAGCATCAATTGAAATAGGTGATAGAATTGGACGTATTCAAGCAATGAATGATGCTGTTGATACAGCTGAAACAGCACCATTATCATTAAGTTCATGGTCAAAGACAAAATCAAAATATATAAGTGCAAAAGTAAAACGATTTGTTGAAAAAGATGGACAAGCTATAGCTATTAAAGAATTACAAGAATTATTAAATCAATGTGGAAAACCAGAAGATAATCGTTCAGGACAAGAACGAAATGTTGCACTTGAAGCAGCTATTTTATTAGCACAATTAAGACGTTATTTACCATCAAGTCCTGAACCATCTGATATAGCTAAATTATGGATTGACTCAATACCACATATTGGTTTATTGCATACAAAAGGAATGAATCTTCATGAATCAGCATTAAATAAATATCAATTAGCAACAAATATCGAAGAAATTGATGATGCTATTAATGTAATGAAAGAAGCTATTGAAATTCGTGAAAAACTTGGACATATGAGAGGACTTGTTGCTAGTTTAAATGTACTTGGTTCAATGCAAATGAGACGTTCAGATTGGAATATATCATTTGATATGACATATATCAAATATGCTGTAGAACAATTTCGTCGTTCAATTGAATATTCTGATAAACATGCATCTATATTTGATCAATTTCAAGCACGTATTCATCTTGTAGTATGTCTTTTTCGTTATCCATCTATTAGAAATACAATTGAAGAATTACAAGAACTTTTAAATTATTTTCAAACAAATATAACTGATGATCTTCGAACACAAATTGAAAGTGAATTTTGTTTAGCTATGAGTATATTTACTAATACAACATTATCATTAGAAGAAATGTGTGATAATAGTGAAGAACTTTTTAATAAATTAGTTGATAAATATACATCGAATAATGATGTTCGTTTGATTCGTATTCTTGCTGCAGCACGTTTTAATGCTGAATTATGTAAAGATTGGAAACAAGGACAAGTTCATACACCTAATCTAGAACTTACACGAGATATAATAACAAGAAAAACAGACAAAAATATCAATGCTTATTGGCATATGCGTATATTACATGCTGAAACACAAATACCACTTAATATATATGATCGATTACAACTTCTTTTGGATCCTATATCACCATAAACATTTCATAGAGGATTTTATTATCATAATTCAAGAAACTTTCATTAAATTACTTGCGTAATCTCTGTCAGTTCGTTAAATTTTTATTATAAAATTATCCTTTCTTATTAGTCAAGTACAGTGGCGGCAAAAAGTTCCATGACACTTGAAAATCGGTTGTAACTACTTTTCGATTGAGTTAATCTGAACTTGTTTCATGTATAATGCATATATCTGCTGCAAGCTTCTACGTGTTATCGACTGAGTGAAATGGTGTTCTTCGAAGGGCCAAAAAGTCAATGGTTAAGCTGTACGGAAAGTGTCATGGAACTTTTTGCCGCCACTGTACTTGACTAATAAGAAAGGATAATTTGATAATAAAAATTTAACGAACTGACAGAGATTACGCAAGTAATTTAATGAAAGTTTC